GTTTAATCATCAGTGATTGTTGACAGATTTCATCCTCTGTTACCAACCATTGAGGAAATTGAAGTTGAGAAAACTCTGGAAATAAAAATATATTTGTCATTTTTTTCAGTAATTAACCATGTATTAAATGCTATGATGGAAAATTGGCCTAACTCATGTTTTTTAGAATAGCATTTTTAGGATCAACAAAGCAATGGTTAAGAGCACTTATCTGGAATTAAAGTGCTGGGTTCATATGGCCACCAAACCACTTGTGACCTTACTTAAGGCTCTTAAAAATCATTCATTCATTTAACAAATACTTGCCACATTTGATGAGCCCCCTCATTCTTCTTGTATGATTTAGTAGTGAACAAGTAGGCTATAATTCCTTTGTGGACCTTAGGTTCTAGTGGGGAATCCCAGATGATGATAAAATAAATTATATAATATATATAATATATAATGTATATATAATATATATACACATTATGTATATATGATATATAAAATATTAGGTAGTGGCAAGTACCATTTATATATAATATATAAAATGTAAGGCAGTGGCAATTGCCATTAAGAAAAGTAAATCAGAATAATTTGAATGGAGATAAACAGGAGAAAGGTGTTATTTCTGCAGAATGATCAGGAAAAGGCTTTCTGAGAAGGAAGGTGTTCTTTGGGAGGAGATTGAAAACACATACAGAAGCATGCATATATGTGTGTGGAGAAATTTCAGAGAGTGAAAAAAAATTGTCAAGGCTTTACAGTTGGGGATTTTGAATGGCATGTTCCAAGGAGAGAGAAGAAGGTAGTGTGGCTAGAAAAGAATAAGCTAGATGGAAATTGCTAAGAGATAAGCCCAAAGATAAGCCCATAGACCCATGATTAGAAATAGGGACACCAGTTAGGCAGTTATTGCAATAATTCAGGTGAGAGAGGATGGTAGTTTTCAATATTGTGATAAGAGGTGGTAGGATTCTGGGTGTATTTTAAAAGTGTAGCAATTTTGGCTTGTTGATGGATTGGAGTGGAATGTAAGAAAAAGGAGTGAAGAATGATTCTGAGGTTTTGGCAAATACAAGAATGGACTTGTCTTTTACTTGGTAATTTTGGCTTGTTGATGGATTGGAGTGGAATGTAAGAAAAAGGAGTGAAGAATGATTCTGAGGTTTTGGCAAATACAAGAATGGACTTGTCTTTTACTTGGTTGGAAGAAACAAGTTAGAGCAGATGTGAAGAGCACATAAGTAATTCACTTTTGACCATGACAAAATGTGACATGCTATCATATAGTCAAAGGGAATTACTGAATGAGTTGTTAAATACACAGAGTAGTGGTTGGGTTGTTGTTCAGTGTTTAATAGTGTTTAAAACCACAGCGCTGAGATAACAGCCATCAGGGGAACACAGGGTCTCCTTGTAGTCTCGCTAGTCTTACATGGTAGTATCTTGACAGTTTTAAAGTCTGTATTAATGTTTTCAGTTTTAAGACAAGTTCAGGATATTTGTTAATAGGAAAAAAGGATCTGTTCAATTATTATCCCTAGAAATATATTAAGTAATATATTACTCATCCATCATTCTACATGTCCATCAGAAGGGTTGATTTAACTTAAAAATAACTTGTAGACCAAGAGAACTAAATATTATCAACAAAATAGATGTTTTCATATGCAAATGTTTTTGGCATATTCATTTGCTTCTCAGTTGTATCCTGTTATGTGATGAATTATCCTTTACTTATAGTTTTCAATATTCCCTTTGCTTATTTGTTCTAATCTTCCTTACTATTCCCTTTGCCTCTTTATTTACTTTGTGTTATACTTCACTTTGCTGTTTCTCTTCAACTTTCTTTAGAGGTCTTTCCATTCTCCCCTTAGCCTCTCAAATATTGTCATGTCCTTAACACTTATTTCTCTTGTTTCCTTTTCTGTTCAGTCTTCAGTAACTTTAGCTTGCAGAAGGGCAGGGCATAGTTGTGACTTTAATACTCTCATTGACTCCACAAGCATTTGTGGAATAAGGCTCTTAGTACAAATAAATTTAACATAGATATCATTAACTCACTGTCTTTTTGAAGACTAAAATCTGGTTGGGAAAACAATAGTCCCAGATGAAAAAAAAATCAGAGGAACACTAAATGGCAATGTAGAAATAATGGCAAAATTTTATAGTAAAGGCTATCTACAGAAATATTGAAGTTCAATTGAATAGTTGAGTTTGGCAGTGTGATACTGTTCATCTAACAAAGGTTTACATTACCTTAATATATTTCTCATTACCTTAAATTGTGAGAAGTAATAAAGATGTGATATGAAAAACATTTAACAGGTGAGATAGGGGTGCTGACCGGTCAGATTTAACATTGGGTGTCATTTCTGAAATGTAAATTAGAACCATTGTGAGATACTGCCTTGCACTTACTAGAATGCCCATTTAAAAAAAATGCTGTTGAGAATGTGAAACAACTGAAATTCACATATAGTGCTTGTGCAAATGCAAAACTGACCATTATAGAAAACAGTTTGGCAGTTTCTCATAAAGTTAAACCTACATTGACCATATAATCTGGCAATTCCAATTGTAAATATTTACCTAAGACAAATGGAAACTTGTATTCACACAAATACTTGTAAGTGAAAGTTTTTAGTGACTTCATTCATAATTGACCCAAACTGTAAAAATCAAAATGTTCTTCAAATAGATAAAGTCTGTGCATCCAAACAATGAAATGTCAAAATAAAAAAGAAAGAATGACTGATAGATGCAACTGCATGGATGAATCTCAATGTATTATGCTTAGTGCAAGAAGGCAAATTAGAAAGATTACTTTATAATGTGTGATGATTCCATTATGACTTTCTGAGAGGGCAAAACCATAGGCACAAAAAGTATACCAGAGTTGCTAGGGGCTTTGGATGTGGTTAGTGATGGACCATAAATAGGCATGAATGAATTTAGGGGGTGATGAAACTGTTTATATTTTTATTTTGGTGGTGGTTACATGACTATATGCATTTGTCAAGGTTCATAAAACTGTACACTAAGAAAAGATAAATTTTCCTATATGTAAATTATACCTCAGTAAACTTGGTTTTGAAGAGTAGGAAAAAAAGAGAAAAATCTGTTTTCTGAGTATGATAATCAGGTGTCTTGAGTTGCATTTGAATACTCTTTTAGGAGAGACTAATACCTTATAATCTAGAATTTATTTTATTTTTATCATAAAGTTGTTTTAATTTGATCAAGTATAGTTTTAATAGGAATTCGTCTATGGAAGGGAGGAGAGTCAAGGATACTTAACTGTATATACTTACATTCCTGAAGAAAAAGGGCCTAAGATTAAAGCAATGGTAAAAGGAATACCATGTGCTGAATATCTCCCTCATGTCAAATGTTTCATATGTAATCTCAGTTATTTTACAACAGTCCTATAAAGTGGATACCATTATTATCATCTCTAGTTTATTAATGTGAGAACAGTCCCAGAGAATTTAAGTATTTCTGCCTAAAACATGGATGAACCAGGATTCAAACACAGATTTTTTTGACACCACAGTTTAACTGACTCCTACTTTAACACTATCCTTTATCCTAGATTGTCCCCACAAATGCCTTTTTATGAGAATGCTCTAAGTCTGAAAACTAATAGTCTGTTTGAATTATTCTGTATTTTAGTTAAATACTGAATTTTTCTTCTACAAAACTGACGCTGCTCCAAAAAATACTGAGCATTTATCCACCCATTCAAGTCTTGCATGGTTTAATTCTGGATAAATCTTCCACTACATCTGCTTTGTACTTATGCTCTGAATTATACTTTTTTTAGTGGGACCTCTGCCAGTCCTTCCAGATCTCTTCCAAGATGTTAGTGTTTGGAGAGTAGAAAAAAGTTTTAATTATTATGCAACCCAGGATAATTATACAGTTATTCAGATATACTTCTTAGATACTGTGAGTCCTTCAAAGATCATATGCCTTCTAAATAATATAAATTCTTTAAAGACAAGAGCTGTCTTATAATTTCTGGTATATGTCATAACATCAACTCCAAAACTCTCCACCTAGAAGATGCTAAGTAAACATTCTTTGATGGAATAAAGGAGTGAATGAACAAATGATGAAAATGATGATTGAGTATAGAGATACAAATCTTTGGAGTTGGATGGAGACCTCTATCCAAGTCCTAGTTACTCCGCTTGCTCTTTGATTGACTTCAGGTTAATTATTTAGCCTTCCTAAGACTCACTTTTCTCTATTATGAAATGAAGATAATAATAGCACCTGTCAGTTGTTACTTGTGATGATTAAATGAGAAAAAGAATGTAACACACTTAGCACAGTTGCAAACATTATGAGTATTCAAGGTACAATATTTACTAATAACAGCAAATCTCTATTCTATGCTATATTTCTTCATTAATAATACAATTATAAATTAATAACATTTAGGTTCCTCCCCAAATTTCATCTATTCTTTTAATTCTCCTAATTACTGCCATTCATGCATAATTTAGAGAATGTCACTTTGTGAATAGAATTAGTCCAGTTTTCAAGTTGTTTTCCATGAATTGAAAGGGAGGTTGTTGTAAAGGAAGGATAAGATGGGGTGGTAATTCTTGGTTTTTCATACATCTCCATATCTGTATTTACTGTTATTATTTTTATGTATTTAAGTGATTTCCAAAAGGCCTATTTTCATATAAAAATAGTATTGAAAGCCCTATAAAATAAGTAACAAGAAAATTATTCTCAGTTATTCTTAAAGTTAATGATTGGTGGCCCCAAGTGTGGTTCCAGCATAAGCTGAATCAACCTATGGGTTTATGCCTGTCAAATTAGTGTTAGAGGAGTGTGTCTATAAGGGACCAGTTTTCAAGAGAAACTTAAGGACAAAACTTGTCCTGATAAAATGGAAAGCTAGCCACCAAGCTTTTGCCAGACACAAGCCCTTTGTGTCCAAAGGAGAGCCTGTCTTTGAGTTAATACTGTAAATATTCTTTGGATTTGCCTTTCAGCTTAAACAGTAAGTCTGAGTCCTTTGGAGGAAACAGAGATGGAGGCAGATTGGCGACATTAACAGTGGAAAGAATTATTTCCTGCAAAGTGAAAACACCACCAAGCTTCATTGCATTGAAGACTTGAGACAATCAACTTCATTCTGTGTCCTCAAAAGTTTTAGCAAGTCAGCAGCTATTGAGCTGGTAGGTAGACATGGCAGTCTGTGGCTGATGGAGACTGAAGGTTAGAGTAGCGAAGTGCTGGATATATTATGTGCTGAATGGGAGGGCATGCTCTGCAGGAGATATTCTTTTGGGACTCCATCCTTAAAGAAGGGGACATTTTCTCAAGGGACTGATAAAGTATCAACAAAACATAGGTCCATGCATTACATTGAGAGTTTTATTTAAGAGGATGGTAATGACAGTGAGCTGTCATATATGCACTAAATGGCACTACCTATTAGTCTGTGTGAAAATAACTTCTGAGGTGCACTAGTTTGATCTTTCTTTTAACCAGTGAATGTTTTGTCAGAGTGATTTCTATTTCTGTGAAGCAAAAAGTAATTTAGCCCATACAGATAGTGACTTTGGCCATGTACTTCTGCCAATCCTGCTAACTGGTCACTGTCAGGGCAGAAACCAAACCAGTAAAAGTAAAGACAATGCTTGAAAGTTGTAGTAAGAAATTGTAGTGATTCTCCATAGTTTGGTGTCCATTCAGTCTGTACAGGAAAGGCAAGGAGATAAGATATTGTTGAAAAAAGCCTAAAGCAAGTAATTAGTAGTAGGAGAAAGCAATGGCACATTTAGATTATTACACTTCACTTTGTATTGGTATCAGCTTGTGAATATTTCAGCAGCATTCATTTACATACCCACTGAGGATTCTGAGCAGAAATTACCCTTTGTTCTCAGGCATAGAATTCATTGGGGTTACAAGTTATATCTAGACTTTGGCCCCTTCAAATAGAAGGAGCTTTGTGATGATATGTTGAATGATATGTAATCTTCACTTTTGTTAAGTAAAACCACAGGATTTTCCTATAGAATCATTTGTATGTTTGCATTATGAAAACGCAAGATTTGTCTATTTGTGAAGTTCTTTGGTGAGAATATTTTAAAAGTAGTTGTGAAATGTAATTTGTGGCATCTGTATTTTAATACTTGTTACACCTGTCTCTTCCAGTCAGAGAGGCTGTCATTCCCTAGATCTCACACTTGGTAATCGAGGGACAGCAACCCATGTCTTCCTGAGCCTACTTCACTATCTTACACCTCAGGCCTGGTCAGACAGCGGCTTGCTATGGGTTACCTAATGAAGGCCTGATGTCTGAGGTAAGTTGTTTTTAGGAACTAAATGAATATGAAATGCAAAGTATGTGATCTGCTGCTAGGAACAGTCTAGACCTTGCACAAAGTTATTTGTATAGAAAAAGAATTAGAAAGCAGGTTTTAAACTTTATATACAGATACCTAAATAAAATTGAGTTGATAAAGAATGGAAAAAGATTGAATAGAGAGGGAAAGTATTCCCCCAAAAGAACTTTCTAAATCACTAAAGTATCTTTTTCAAGCCATGTTCTTACCTCTTTTGACCCTTGCTCCACAGTCTCCTCAAAGACCCTCTGCCAGGCAATTTCAGATGTATTATAAACATACTCTTGTGAACAAGAGCTATAATTCTCCTCGATGCGGGGCCCTGCTGCTGATGACAATCAGCCCCAGGTAGCCTTTCACTTACCAATCGCTGTTGGCTCCAAAATAAGTTTTGAAAAAAGTGAATTGGAGCTTAGGATCCAAATGATAAGTAAAATGGAGGAATGCTTGTGTTTTCACAGCTTGTGTTTTGAATTGGTCAAAAGCCACTGAGCTGACCCACCCCCGTGAGCCTTCATCACTGCATTCATCTATTAACAACCATTCCTGTTTGAGTTCAGGCTGTTGACCTTTTCTCTAGAGTCATGTTTGAAGATTAGCCTTGTAGTCAGGCTAATAGCAATTCCTCCAAAATAAACCACAACCCATTCCCTGTTACTCAGTTTTTAAGTTTTGGCTAGTTTATTAAATTTTTGACATCTGGAAGCAGGGCATACCTTAAACTTCACATTGGAAGCACCTATTAATTGAACACAATAGGGACATTATCATTTTTTGGAGTAGATGTGAGTTGGAGAGAAGATATTACCTTGGATGAGGGGTGTTTTCGTCATTTACATGCTCAGTTGGTCACTAGTAATCAAGGATAATAAAGACTAGCTCAACACAAGAATTAAGTTAAAAAAAATTAAAAGCCATTTACTGTCAGGCCAGGATAGCTAGAATTAACTCAGAAAATTTTAGATGAAGCTTTACTTGGTGCACTGAACCATTACTACAAGCAATGGATTAGACTCGGCTGTGCTAGATTCTTCAGAATCCAGCCCTTCAGAATTTTTCATTCTTGTTGGTAGAAAATAGGAGGGCCTTGAAAGCTGCAATACTGAATAACAGGAACAACAGATGAGTTGATATGTTACAAAGGACTCTGAAAAGAAATAAGCTGTTTAGGCTTGAGTGGTAAAGGAAGTTTTGTAGAGGTGTGGCATAAAATGGAACTTATATGGCAATGGGTAGAAATGTTCATTTAAAAATAATTAGTAAATGGTTCTATATTATGTGCCCAATGTGGCAAAGATATGTAGTGGATGCTATACACAACCACAAAGTTAAACACTGAAGTTTAGGAAACATTGCTCTGAAAATTTAGAGAATTATTCAGGTATACCTAAATGTGCTTGGTGAGGTCAGTGAAAGTTTCAAAGTAAAATGTTGTTTATGCTGGGTATTGAAAGGTTCTTGGGCCTTCAGCAAGTGAGCAAGAATGCAAAACCATAGTGAGCCACTTTGACACCAAATATAATATAGACTAAGTTCATAAACCGAACATATGCACAGGAGAAATTTAGATATTACATAATCCATTCACTGGAGTGAAAAAAATGTTAAAATCGTCTCTTAATCTCATAGGATTTCTTTGAAGGAGATTTTCTAAGTGCCCACCCATGCGTTCCCGTATTTCTTTGGAATACAAGTGTATGCTCTTTGTTGGAACATTCACATTTTGGTTGTAGATCTAAAGTTGAATACCCATTTTCTTTTTGATCGATTATTTGTGCTAATAAGTAGTAAAGGGGGAGAGTAAAGGATCACCTCCAAAGAAACTTTTATTTTGGTTTGAAATACAATCTGGGCTTTTCTGTAGCAGACTGAATGGGTTAGGAATCACATCCTTCTCTAGGCCACTGTTAACATGATCTGTATATCCAGAGCTCCTACTGACCAACAGCAGTTGAAGAGAGGCTATGTGGAGGAGAAAAGTCAGTTTGTATTAAAGTTTTACTGGATATAATACATGAAGTAAGTCCACAGTGCATTCAGACTTTCAAGCACATTTCAAAGATGAAAACAAATCATAAGTACCTGGAGTTGAATGTAAGGGACATTAGGAATATGTGTTTTTGTACTAACCAACAACCCCAAAAGTCTGTGCTTATATAAATATGTGCATATAGAATAATACAAGGATACTCATTCTTGTTACTATATATTCAGGTGAGATAGACAGCTTTTTGCTGTTGACTGTCAGAATGTTTTATTGAAAGCTTGTACTCTACTAAAGAAAGCAAGGTCAGTGCTGGGGTAAATTTCTGGCAGATTATTTAAACTTCTAAGAGGGTGAATTCCATTTAGAAATAATGTGGTTTTTATTACATATATCTGTCTAATAATATTAAGGTGCTATTTCAATGTTAAGAACACACAAAGCCGATCTTAGGTACTAAGAGATGGGGGCAGAGATTGGGGTAGGGGTTGGAGTCATAGCAGGGTAAGAGTTGGGCACTGGTTTAAGGTTAACACTAAGCAAAGGAAAATATGAAAACTGAAACTCCCTTTTATTTCCATATGGAGGCTGTTTTATTTTTGTTTAAATTCCCCTTTGCTATACCACATTTTCAACAAACTGAGGTATGAAACCTGAATATATTTCTAATATGGAATAGAAACAACAGATTTTCTTTAGACAGATATGAAGACCTTTTGTTTTTAATTTAGTAAAGATTGATAATAAAAAGTGATAAGAGGTTAAAAACAAGTGGTATTGTGATTAAGTAGGTCATGAAATTCTCATGCAAATTTTGAAATGTTAAGTAAGTTTATATCTGTATTTTCTTGAATTACTGTGAACTGGTGAATAAATTACTGTCTTTTTAATCAATCTAAAAGTCACAAGCTTGGAGAATCTCACTGAAGTCTAGAATTTTTGTGTGTTTACTTCATTTGATAAGATTCTTCATCCCAGGAGGAAACATTTAAATCTTATTAATATTACCCCCACAGCATCTTTTTGTATTCACTAGCTCTAAATCAATAACAGTTGTATAATTTAGCCTTAAACACACAATTAAATATTACCACTGTTATACAAAAATGTTTGGGTCCATTTAACTGAAACCAAAACTTTTAACAGATTTTGAAAACCTTACAAACTGAAACTACATAAGATTGATATTTATATTCCAAAATGTATTAAAGTCTTAATAGGAGAACTATACCTATTTGATGTAATTTTGGTGGTCAGAGGGAATGTTTGTTTTTTTGAGGTAAGTTAGACACCGAATCCCAGGGACACCCAGCCAAACAAAAAAATCTCATAATAACTATGAGAAAATAATAAATAGTGAGAAATTATACCCGTGGCAACCTATAGCAGATTCAGAATGTGTTATGGGATGATAAAGGAGCATGGGGAACTTAGGCATTGAAAGGCAGCATGTCATTGTTCTTAGGAAGTTTGTCCATTTTCTATTAGCAAATTGGTGTTGGAGGAAGAAAGAAAGAAGGAAAGAAGAAAAGAATTATGTTGATTGAAGTAGAATTTCTTACACTGAAGGTTTATATTTTCTAAAAGTATTGGGAAACATCTTGGGGGTGTTCAGAGGAAGGCAACACTGATTCGACTTTGGGCAAGTGGGCAATTCTTTGGTACTTCCCCGTAGAACTGTAACTGCAACTGGATTTTCATTGCCCCAGGTCATCCTCATTTTATTTCTGTAGTTTTCTCACCATTCCTCATGGTGCCTCACTTCTGAGCTAAGAAAAGAAATGTAAGATTTTATTTTTTATTCTCCTCTTTTAAATCCATGATATGAATTGTTTTCTTTTTGTGATAAAATCCATTTCCCATCACCACCCTGGAATGAGCCTTGATATGATTAACATACCAATTTACAGGTAACTCACATCTCTTTTTGGTCTTTGCAATATGCTAGACATGTTATAGTAATAATATTGTCCATTAGAATACTTAGAAGATTTCTAAATTACGTTTTTATTGTTTTATTTTTATTTGTGCATTTAGGAGTGAAAGAAATCATAACATTTTAGTGATATTAATTTAATCCTTTATTTACCTTCTGTTTCATTTCTTTAATATCTTTCTTCTTAATATTTTTTCCTTTAAAAAACTAAGGAAAAAGCCTGGCTTTTATTTGTTTCATTTCTTCAGAAGTGGTACTGTAATTCTCAGGTAGCTTGGATTTCCCTTTCTAACTTACCTCTGTCCCTTCAGTCTTTCTCCATCCACATTCAGTCAGTCACCAAGAACTCTTCTGTTTCATCAGTAGAGTCTCACATCTTCCTTGTTCTCTTCTTTTCTACTGTCCCTACCCAGAACAGGCCCTCATTAATTTTTCTTGAGATTCTCGAAATGTTTCCAAATGGACCTTTACAAGTAACTCTCCCCTCCCCAAAAAAGAACCAAACTAGTCAATGAATTAATTTTAAGAATTTGTTATTGAAATGTCCATTGCATCACCGCATAGTCTCTATTTCAGTGATTTATAGTAAGAACTTTATCATTGTGATTTTGTGTATCTATGAATATGGATTATTATGCATATATCTGTATCAGTATATATTACCTATGAAAAATCTTTCATAAAATAATATTTATCCTCATTTCCTGGGATGGGCTCTAATTTTTTTTCTCCTTTATTCCTCTTCATTTCCCTCCAGAATACAGTCTTCATTATTTGTGGATTCTGTATGTATAAATTTGCCAAAACTCAAAATTTGCTTGTAAGCGCAAAATCAATACTCATAGTACTTTCACAGTCAGTTGTGGATCTGTCTATGTACAGCATAGGGAAAAATTTGAGCCAGCAGGTAGGCACATGCCAGCTGAGGTAGAACAAGGTGAGATGCACTGCCTTCGTGTTTTAACTTTAATACTTGTAAAAGTTTTCTGCTTTTTGTTGGTAATTTGCTATTTTAAATGGCCTCCAGCCTAATGCTGA